TCATATCACAATATCCATTAGGTACTTATAACGCGTTATACATCAACAAAAACCGTGATACAAGTAGAAGTTTCAAGTACCCACGAATAATTTTATTCAATCACAACAAAATAACTAAAATAGTTATTCTAGGTTTTTTAATATGTAATTTCGTCCAAATTTGAATTTAAAATGTCTGTAAATAATAACTGTGTTTATATATTTTTTAGATTTTTTGGTAACAGTATGAATTATTTAAGAGAATCTTTGTTTTAAATTTTCAACTCTTAGTTATAAAAACTAAACATTTTATAATTTTTTAATTCCAACGATTAATAATTTTCGAGATTTTGATAAATTTTGTCAAAATTCCAACTTTAAATGCTTATAAAAAAAAATCGTGCCTATGTATTTTTAATATTTTTCAACTGATATTGTAACAATATATCAGGAGCTTTGTATTAAATTTTTACACTTTTTGGCCCAACAGATAAAACTTTATTGATATTTATAGAAAAAAAAACTAAAAAAAATGAAAGCTGTAAATGTCCATAAACAGCTCAAAAAGAGTCAAAATATTTTCAAAATTGTATGGTGTATAGAAAATGCTAATTTAAACATTCAGTGAAATTTTCATGTATCTACAGTTGTTCGTTTTTGAATTGCAACAAAATAAAGAAATCGCTACATGAGTAATCGAGTGAATATCCAATGTTGTAAAAATTTGAATTTCAAACGCTCATAAAAATTTAACTTGACTGTCCGGTAGAGATTTTTTTATTGATAAAGGTAGATAATCTTATAAGGAATCTTGTGTTTCATTTTCAAATCTTAGATTTAAAAAGAAAAATTTTTACGAATTCTTAACTCAAAATAATTCGCTAATTTTCGTGATTTTTCCATATTTTGTCAATTTTTGAACTTTAAATGCTTATAAAAAAAATTGTGACTAAGGATTTTTAATATTTTTCATCTGCCTTTGAAACAACATATTAGGAGCCTTCTATTAAATTTTCAAGCTTTCGCAACCAACAAATAAAATTTTATTGATATTTTTAGAAAAAAAACTAAAAAAAAAATGGAAAATGAAAATGTCCCTAAACAGTTCAAAATAAATCAAAATATTTTGAAAATGTTATCGTGTATAGAAAATGCAAATATAAACAACCAGTGAAAATTTCATGTATCTACGGTCATTTGTTTTAAAGTTACACCAAAAACCAAATTCGATTTTTTGGAAAATCGATTTTGCGTAAAAATTCCCGTTTTTCCTTAATTTTTATGTTATTTTTCCCGGCGCTTATGAAAACTACTGGAAAATGTTTACTTTTGACCCCCCAAAGTACCAACTAGATTCACTTTCCTATCAGAAAAGGTACTATTGAAGAAAATCTAAGCACTTTTACTGTCCCAAAACGTGATGACAGACACAAAAAAAAATATAAAAATATAAAAATATAAAAATATAAAAATATAAAAATATAAAATTATAAAAATATAAAAAAAAACACACATCATTGTAAAACCAATACATTCATCGCTCCGCTCAGAATCTAAAAGGTGCTCTGCTGTACAGTAGGTTACAAGTGGGTCACTGTATAATGGATTGTATTAAATTTGAATTCAATGATATAATATCATTGTATAAGAAAAACGATTCTGAGCGAAGACAGTATGTCAGTCTAGGTATAAGACATATTATATACGTATCTATGGTATTAAAAAAAATTTGACCTAAAATAGGTACCTATAATAAATTCCAAATTAATCATATCACCATTAGTACCATTAGGTAGGGGAGAGTGGGGCAGATTTGAATGAAATTTACATTTTATTTTTTTAATTTTTAATTTTTTGACAAATTTTATATTTGATAATTACAATCTGTAGTCTAGATAGTTGTGAATACTATTTGACTTATAACAACCTTATATTCTAAATAACCAATTTAATTTCTAATTATGAAGTGAAGTATATTTTTATTCAAATGTACCCCACCCATGGGGTACATTTGAACGTGCAGGGGGTAGATTTGAATATGTGTCTTAAAAGCCATATTTGAATGTTAAATATTAAATTAAATTAAACTTTTTATTTATTTTAATAATAAAAATAGCTCAATATAATATAATTACAATTTTTTACAATTATGTTTAGATGTTTTCTTGTCAATTTTTTTTTTATTGTGAAAATGTAGTATTTTTGGGTTTTCTTATAGATAAATCCACATCTTGTGACATAAATCCAGTTAACTAGTATATTCCATCCATAAGATAGATATTTCAAAAAGGAGGAACCTTTATTACACCCTATTATCTACCCTATTGATGAAGATTCAAATCTACCCCATGCCAAAATAATCAATAATAATCGTAATATAAATTTTAATAATTATTAATAATGTATGTACATTAAATGTATTACTAGGCAACAATATTTTGAATAGGTGTATTTAATTCTAAACTTATTATTTTGAATTTTAGTTTCCAAAATGTTCTTATGGAAACACCTATTTTTTTTTTAAAAAAGCCGGAAAATCACATTATCATTTTTATTTATCACAAAATTATTCAAAAATGCCTGATAATCACATATGGTATACAAAATATTGTCACCAACTTAGATTATTATTTTTATGAATGTAAATAATCTGTAACAAATTATATTAGACAAATTCAAATGTACCCCGCATTCAAATCTGCCCCACTCTCCCCTACTTATAATGCGTTATACGTCAACAACAAACCATGATACTATCATAGTCCATACTCCATAGATAAATATCAAAATATTTTGAAAATTGCATGTATCTAGTCATTCGTTTTTGAATTATACCAAAATAATAAAATCGTTACATGAGAAATCGAGTGAATAACAAATTTTGTAAAAATATGAATTTAAAATGCTCATAAAAATTTATTTCACTTTCCGGTTGAAATTTTTTTTTTTATAAAGGTAGACGAACTTATGTTAAATCTTGTATTATATTTTCAAATCTTAAAAAAACAATTTTTTAAGAATTTCTAACTAAAAATAATTTTACAAATGTCGTGTTTTTTCCGTATTTTGTCAATATTTGAACTTTAAATGCTTATAAAAAAAAACTGTGACTAAGGATTTTTAATATTTTTCAAACGTCATTGTAACAACATAATAGGAGCTTTGTATTAAATTTTCAAGCTTTTCTACCTAACAAATAAAACCTAAAAAAGTTTGAAACTGAGTATTTTCGTGAACAGTTCAAAACATATCTAAATAATTTTGAAAATTGTATCATGTATAGAAAATGGAAATATAAACAACCAGTGAAAATTTCATGTATTTACAATCATTTGTTTTAGAGTTACACCAAAAGCCAAAATCGATTTTGTCAAAAACCGATTTTGCGTAAAAATTCCCGTTTTTCCTTAATTTTTATGTTATTTTTCCCGGCGCTTGTGAAAACTACTGGGAATTTTAAACTTTGACCTCCCCAATGCACCAACAATATTCATTTTCCCATTGAACAAGATGCTGAAGTAATTGAAGCAATATTTCGACTACTGATCGTTTACACAGACACAAAAATAAAAAATAAAAAACACATTATTGTAAAATCAATACATTCATCGTTTCACTTAGAATCTAAAATAAAAATAATCAAATTGTGTACAACAACAAGTGGCGCAACTAGAGTTCAAATCTTGGGGGTGCTACAATTATGAAACCCCCCCAACACAAACATTTTATACTGCCAGTAGTCAGTATTTATATTATACTTCAGCACCTCCTAGCACCCCAGTAGTTGTGCCACTGACAACAACAATAACATAATACTAAATAATAGATCTTAATAGATAATATTATAAATTTCTGTGCTGGAATTAAGAGGTTGTTACACCGACATTTGTTGTCTCCATCTTACAAGTGCCTAACATAGCAATTTTTACGCTCAGTAGATCACGTTTAGCTCTGTTAGTTTAAAAATTAGAAATTTAAAGGTAAGATTATTATCTAGGGCGTCTCATATTTTGTTTTATTTTAATTTTAAAGCGAGTAAAATTATTTGAAGATGTACAAACAATTTACAATTTTAAAATACTCATAACTCGCTTTAAAATTAAAATATAACAAAAAGCCTATGAGATGTCCTAGGTAATAATCTCACCTTTAAATTGTACTAAATATCAATTCACTCCAATTTTTAAACTAACATAGCTAAACTTGATCTGCTGTGCTATGTTAGGAACTTATCGCGACCCCCTTGTGGGTCCCCAACTTATTATTTAGGGTTGCGTATAAATTAAATTTTATTATTTTTACATTTTTTTAATTAAACATAATTAAAATATTATATGTATTTTATGTTGAGTACTATGTACAGTACTTTTACTATTGATTATTAATAAAAAATCTATATTCTATGCGTCTATATAAAAAATATATGTAAGAGGGGTCGCTAAAAAATTTAAATTGGGGTTGAGAAACACTGATATAGACGACTAATGTTGGTGTAACGTCCACTTAAGTATTTATAGTATACCTTCATAAAATATTTTTAAAAATCAATAATTTTTTAGTTTACTATTGATAGTTTAATATTGATAATATCTACTTAAATGATGTACAATTTTAATCTGTGTATTCTCTAATATTATACTGTCAAAATAAAATATGGTGTTTGATAAATTATTTTATTATTTTTATCAAACTCCATATTCTTTTGACAGTATAAATTAAAATTTATTGTATGCATGAATTTCTTATAATATTAGAGAATACAAACATGAACATTTTACATAATTTAAGTAGATATGTAAATAGAATTTATCAATAGTAAACTAAAAAATAGTTGATTTTTATTTTAGTGTAATGTAATGTAAAATTATTAGCCTTTACTCAGTAACTATACTATTGTTTTATTGTTATATTTCAGGTATCCTGGTGTTATCAGGAAACATCTTCAAGAAGTGAATAACACTTGTATATTGTATATTAAAAAGCTAGAATACATTAAGACTGAAAAATCAATAAAGCTAAATATGTATTGTAAACATGGTGGCTGTAAGAAGTTCAAACTATACATTTTGCCTACTGGTGAAGAAGCAGTTGTTAAAGTTTACAGTACAAGTAAAAACTTCAATCATAAACCAGATGCTCGATACACTACTCAAATTAGGGGAGCTGAGCAAAAAATTATTAGATATTTAGATAGAGAAACTGTAACAAAATGGTTGAGATGTTTCAAAGATCTAGTAATTGCAAAAGATCCAAGTATCTGGCCGCCTTTCAAAAATGTTGTAACTGATTTCAGTTGGGCTTTTATGCATGGTATTTCTAAAGCATGGAATAGTAAGGAAACAATATTTGAATATCTGGATATGTGTCATAGAATATTAACTGGAAGAGAAACATTATCTTCTAGCACAGTAGTTATTACTTCTTGTACAAACCATTATGTTAAAAATATTCTGAACCATATAAAACGGTATTATCCAGATGATGAAAAACAGCGTTTTACATAGCCAGATGTGTTGGATTAGTGTTTTAAATGAACAATTATGAAGAAATCAAACATTGGTTTGAATTGCTGTCGACTATGATCTTGTCAGACAAGTCAACAGAAATGTGTAAAGCAGCAAGTATGGAAATGAAATCATACCTAAAAACAAACCATGGATTAGTTGAGTATGAAATTGAAAAGTTTGATGACGGTCAAAATTACTCTTGTGGTAAAACCACTGATACCTCGTATTATGCCGAACGAAAGAAATCTGCATTTTATCATGATTTTAAACAGATATTTGACAGTGTAAAAAAATAGTAAGTATTTCCTCACAGAATCATAATCACCTAGATGTTAATAGTATGTATTCAGAAGAGTACTTGTTACATTTCCTTATTGAAAATGTGCTATACATACTTCTGTGGACAAAAGTTATGACTACTCTTGTTCATCTGGAAGAACGCCAGAGTAATGCATCAGTAGAAAGTTGGTTTAATTTAGTGAAAAATCATATTTTAGCAGGCAAAAGAAGAATGAAATGTGGTAGGTTCATTGAAAATATAACCCAATATGAAGCTCAATGCTTTAGACAGGTTGAATTACAAATACCTAGATGTATATGTGCCATAAAAAAAAGCTGATTATGACGAGAACAACCTGCATTGAAATACTCCAGAAACTTGGAGGAAGAAAGGAAAACGTCCAGTATTCTTGAGAAACAATAATACAATTTTAGGCAAAAGTTATGGTGAAAACCAACAAAATTGTTTGTCATTAAATATACAGTGCCAACAGGGTGTTGTATTACATTCAAAACGAGATGAGTTTAATAATGATCATCTCATTGTTTTCAGTCAAACAGATCAACCAATTGTGCACAGTTTGGATATAGGTGAACAATTATTTGATAACCTCAGTGACATCAGTGATCATGATTGTGTATTAACAAGAGAAAATAGTACAAGTCCAAGAGTCATTGAGAATATAAATAAAACTGTTGTTAATACTTCACTCGTGGCTTTGACTACCCAAATTCCATCAGACACTTATGGGCACGCAGTTGTATGGGAATCGTCCACTGATAAGTCTCCAACAGGAAATTATAACTTATACCGTAAAAACAAATTGGTGAAAGATCCAATGTATTACATGAAGTCTTATTGTTGAGTTGACAAATACAGTTAGTCCCAAAAGTCCCGTATCACCCTTAATATCTCCATGTAAAATCACTATATTTAAACGCGGTTTTTTTACAGTACTAAGTATGAAAATTCTGATTGAATGGAATAAAATTAATTTATTTTTTTCTTTAAATTCAAAAATTTTCAAAAAAATTTTTTACGCATTTAAGAATTTAAAATTTTTAAGATAGCCATTTTGTTGAGCATATTTTTTAAAACAGTTCAAAAAAAAAAAATACTAAAATTAAATAAAAATTGACCAAGTTAGAGCAAGTTATGTTTTTGAATAATTGTAGTAAAAAAATAAATTATTGTTTCACATTTCAATAATGAAATATCTAATTTCAGCACACGACCATACTTTTACATTCCTAATTTATTTTTTTACTACAATTATTCAAAAACATAACTTGCTCTAACTTGGTCAATTTTTATTTAATTTTAGTATTTTTTTTTTGAACTGTTTTAAAAAATATGCTCAACAAAATGGCTATCTTAAAAATTTTAAATTCTTAAATGCGTAAAAAATTTTTTTGAAAATTTTTGAATTTAAAGAAAAAAATAAATGAATTTTATGCCATTCAATCAGAATTTTCATACTTAGTACTGTAAAAAAAACCGCGTTTAAATATAGTGATTTTACATGGAGATATTAAGGGTGATACGGGACTTTTGGGACATACTGTATATGGTATCGCAAATTTCTTTTGAAAACGAAGAGATAGAAATATCGTCTTTGTATTTTTTAAATTTAAACACTAAAGGCGATACTAGTATGCTTTGGTTACATAATAAATAAATATGGTGTTTGTTTCAGATATTTTTGGAGTGAAATTCAAGGTCTTGGATCACTAAGAAGAGACAGCAGTTAGGTTGTGTGAGTCCAGATCAATCATACTATATGTTCAATCTTGGTAGAAGTGTTGAAAACTCTACAGCTGATAGACCTGAATGGATTGATTCATCAAGGTTATTAATACCTTTACTGGAAAAAGACCATTGGACTTTGATCTATGTAGATTTTATAAAAAAAAACAGTAAGTTATTTAAATTCTATAGAAAGCGTGCATAACAATATCGAGAAGAGAAATTACTGGAAGGATAGAGTTCTTAATGTTTTATGTGGTGTACCTAAAACTTGGAAACCAAAGCAAAACATAGGTGATATCAAAGAATGGAAAGATATGTTTGTCCAAATACCATATCAAGATGATGGATTTAACTGCGGTGTATTTATGTTGTACTTTGCAAATCAATTAATGAGTAATAAAAGAATAATTAATGTTTTCGATCCAAACAATTATCGTTCTTACCTACAGGACTTGATACTATCAAGTTCAAAGTGTATGAAGAACATTTGTTTAATTTGTGGAAAAGACGAAGGTAGATTTAAACAAAATTATAATTGTGAAATCGATAGTAGGTATACAGTGGTTCAGTGTGGGTCTTGTACTAGATGACTGCATATCTCATGTTTACCTGCAATTGAGCAAGAAGAATTTGAAAACCCAGATTGGGTTTGTGGACTGTGCTCAAATCAATGTCCAACTATCTAAAAATAAATTTCATAAACATAATTAATGTCTATGTTATAACATTCATACATTTTTTACTGTATTTTAATAAATTTAATAAATTGTTTTTTTGTGTTATTAAAAAAAATTATTACAGATTAATTATAATAATACAATTATAAAAAAAATTAGGCCTTCCAAACTAATGATTTAAATAAGTATAAGAAATGGTTTATCTCTGGACACTATGGTTTGTGGAAGAGATGAAAGATTGATTTTGAAATATTTATAAGTAACTATCATTTACATGGTGTTTATAAGTTAAAATAATAAATGTAACTATAAATAATATTTTCAAATAATCAAAAACATCATGCAGTGATATTGACTACACAATCTAATTAATTTATAATATACCTAGGCGTTTTATTCTTCGGCGTCATTTATTTTGCCAATTCCACATCCATCACATGATTATAGGCCAGTGATGATAAACTCAAATTCTTGTCTCTAGCAGATAAAAGAGTTGAAGCTAATTTGGTATTTGTGCACAAGCTGATTGATAGACGTGTGGATGCTCCCTCTCTTCTTTCTCATTTTAAATTACCTTCTTATTTAACTAGGTCTAAATCTTACTATGTTGTTCTATTCCACAACACCAACTATTATAGAAATAATCCCATTCACCATATGATGTACATTACTAATAAGCACCTAAGTTTCTCTTAAAACGTTTTTATAAATAATAGTACTGCAATCTGTTGTAACTATTTTTTAGTTATTATTTTTTTCTATTGTATTGTTAGCTTACTTTAATAATTATGTTATATTGTTCATATTTATTTATTACTATAAATTGTATTGTACTTTTGGGCTCCTAGCCCATTCATAAATAAATGAATATTTACATAAAAACATAAAACACTATAATATAATAATATACAGATTGTAATAAATTGATAACTGTCTTTTTCTTGTCTTTTACTTATAATTAAAATTAAATTAAATTTAAGTTGCCCCTAATAAATTTAGTAAATGCAACTTAATATAGCTGGTATCAACCATTTTCTTATCAGTGGTATAGGAGCTAACTAGGAAGGAGCAATGCAATGCTATCTTCACAGACATCTGTTGTTGTTGCACTCTCCTATCTGTCTTCGGTAAAGTGATAAAACGACGGTATCTGTGTGTATCTACAGCCGTAAAAACCATAGTAGATAGTAGTACCACAGAAATACAGAATATTCTATGGTTCCGGGTAGTACTATCAAGTGAGTAGTGACTAGTGACAGTGAGTGAGTGAGTGACTATCATCATAGAACAATCTATCATTAATGATTAAACTACTATTAAACATGACCCGATTTCTGTGCTATTAACTATATTAATAATTATTAACAAGAGCCAAACACTTAACTTATAATAATTTTGAATATTGAATCATCATATTTTGTTTTACGTTTACCGCAATAAAAATACCAATGATTGGAATATTCAAGTCAAAGTTGTATGATTCAGTATTTTATAGCGTCATAAATATGCAGATAGTCGCGTTCCAATAGATATATTTTATGCTGACAACCATTATTTGAAAATACCTAGGCACCAAAAGAATTCATTTGTAAGAACTTCTACTGTTAAACACAACTTTGTACTGAATTGAAATGGCAAAACCATGTGAGGAGCCCCTGAAGGTAATTTTTTTACTCAATATGTTTTTTTTGATCAATGATTTGTGTAGACCTCATTTCTAATTATTTAATACAACATATATATTACATACCTAACCATTTTCAGGGTGGACATTTGCCCCTATTAACAATAACTAATAATTATAATATTGATAATGTATTACAGGGGTGTCAACTGTGTGGATACAGAGTAATGAATTATACCCCAGAATTTATTCAACTACTTAAGAAAGAATTTAGCGAATTAAAAGAATTTAAAATATTTTGGAATAAATACAATGAAAATCCTGATTTGGTTAATGACTTGTGTGAGAGATGTCAAATATCGTATTGGCAAAAATTAAAATATACCAATCACAGTGAGTACATAATATTGTTATTTATTATACTTAAATAAATAATAATATTAATACAATTAACTACTATGTACATTTTACCCTCGTTTTGACTATACAGTACAATTTGTTATAGCGCTATTCAAGGAACCAAAGCAAAAATGCTTTATAAGCAGACAAGTAATAGAATATTTATGGGAATGCTAAAAGAGTATATTGATTTCACATTATCTCATTATGTACTTATTAAGGTATAAAGCTAAACATTTTTATTTTCCAACAATATCATATACCTACATACTGTTTCATTTGTTTCATCAAATAATATCTGTCTGCTAGTTAGAATTTAAACATTCCACAAAAATCTAGTTTTTTTTTTTTAAACAGTTGTTATCACAATTTATGGTGCATTATACCAAGAAGAGGTAATTTATAACTGATAATCTTTATATTTCAATCATTGTTTAAAAGGGCAATACCCAAGCATTTGTAGTCTCCGTCTTACACACGTACGGCATGGCAAATTTTCATTCAATAGTTTCAATAGTGTGCTGTTAGTTTTGATCTTAGAATTAATTCACCTATTATCAAACTTTTAGGTAAGAAAATTATAATATGTGCTTAAGCGTCTGTGATTTTTCAATATTTTGATTCTCAAGCGTGATATGAGCATTTTTAATTTGTAATATTTCACATGCCCATTGCCCATGTCTTGCTTGAAAATTAAAATATTGAAAAGTCGACGACGTTTAAGCACAGATAATTTTCATACCTAAAAGTTTCTCTAGTGATTTGGGGTCACTGAGAGTTATCACGTGGTAGTTTAGCAACCCAAATTAAAAACAATTATATTTTTAAAAAAAAGTTTATTAGTTAAGTTTTGAAATTGATGCATAAATACCAAGATTTGTGACGGTTCATTATTTTTATTGCATTCCACTACAGCAAACAAATCCATGTCATCTAAACTATAAACTACCATTTCTTCGCAAAAGGTTAACTAAATTCAGGGCTAAGCCTTGGAGATTCCCAACCCTTGTTAAAAAAAAAATTGATTTTTGAACAGGGACAATTCCAAATGTAATAGTCAAAAAGTGATACTGAGGGGAAGTGGAGTCATAACTCTAAACTCATAAGTTATAAAATGAAGTCTTACTGTATTTTAATGCTAGATATTTTCTTTTTAGATCAAGTGAAACAACATAACCGGACTGCAGATACTCCAAGAAAAAGTTTTTCGTCTTACACATTTGTTTTAATAATAATGGCATCACTGTTAGGAGGATACCTGTTTAGTAACTTTGATAATCTTTCTAAGACTAACAACAACGAACTCAGTAAAGATAAATTGAAGAGCACAATGATGTCACTAAAGAATCATTTTCCGTCGCTGCAGCAGAGCATGATAAAAAAGCTAGGTGGCGCTTTTACGCGGCTTCAAACTCCGGGTGAACCGATTGTTTTCATGCTTTTACATAACGACGCCAACAAACAGACTACCGACTGCTTAGCGTCCTACGCAAGCGTTTCGGCCAAAAAATATATATTCACTAACTCCGCCCAAGGCTTGTGGATGAACGGGTCGGAGTGGACTAGTTATTCGGACCGCGATGATGAAGACTTGTTCTACGAAAAGGTATATATCAATTAACATCATGCAGAAAAAGTCTTAGCAATAACTAATAAGTATAAAATTCTTATTGATCATCTTTCATTATAATTTATAATATTATCATTACTCAATTACAGCCCATTAAACCGATTTTATGTTCACTATAACGGCTGTCGACTATATACGGTAAAAACTTAATTGCATGCATAAATTATATGCCTACGAACAAATTGTTTTTTTTTTTTTTTTTTAACACAACTTTAGGCATGGCTTGCTTTAAAATAATAGTGAGGGACAAGATTTATTGCATTTTTCTGCTCTCTTTCGCATCACAATAAAGTCGATTTCTGAATTAAACAGATTTAGACCATTAAACATTTTAGGGTAAATAGTGTAAAAAAAACCAATGTTAAACCCATGTAATCGATCATCTTAATTTTGTTCGATTTCTTATGCGTTTTGTTTATTAGAAATATGCTAAAAAGCTCATTTTTTAATCAAATAGATAGGTGTATTATTATTAAGTGTATAGTAGACAGGGTTGGTTTGAGATTCAACAAGATGATTATTGAACCATATTCGCCCCTTATCTTATACTTAAACCAAGGATTTATTAAAATTCTTATTATTTTTAAATTCATCATTTTCTAGTTTCCAGCTGCATTGATTTATTGATTTTCACTCGTTTCAGCTGAATGCGCCGCTCGAGAAGAATGAAGTGCTGGTGTTGGAAAACTTGCAAGACTTGCCGTGGTCGTTGGCCAAGGCGCTGCACCACCTGTGCGACTCGGAAAATCCGAAGTACACAAAGGCCATGTACATGCTAGAACTCAGGGTGAATGGTGACCTGCAACAGCTGTCCGATGGTGACAAAATAGTAGCAGCTGAGCGGGCAATGAACATGGCGTGGCAAGATGCGCCGAATGAGTTCAGAGAACCTCTGATCGCCCGGCTCACATCATTCGTGGACGCTGTGCAGTGGGAATCGGATGAGGCATGTCAAGGAGAATCTTCTTTCATCAGGATTTCGCCATGAATATCTTCTCTCTCTAATGGTGCCTCCATATTATAATCGGCTGACAAGAGATTCACTTGTCCGCTGTGGGCTTATATAATGATAATATTATTCACTTTGAATCGTGATTTTTGTATTTCCATTTTTCTACCCACACACATCCACTGGGATGTAGTTTTTTATACTCTATTATAAACTATATTTATAATTGTAATACATATCTATAATATTAATGATATATATTATTATATATATCACCTATACCTAATGATATATTATATTATGTGTTAATAATAAATACAATAATTCAATAGAATTTACAAGACTGTGCTAAAAATTGATTTTATAAGTTTGCATTAGACTGATGTAAAGAAATATTTTACTGAACAATAATTTTGACTAGAAAAATATATTTTCCCAATCCATTATTGAAAATAAAATTAGGCAGGTACATAGGTAGTGAATATTATTTATATTTTAACTGATAAATTCTCAACATCAATTTAATATTAAGTATGATTATATTCAACGTTAACCAGTATTCAAGTTTGGCAAAAATGCTGCAGGGTGGTGGCTAGTGGTAAAGCTTTGCTCATTGTTGAGGTATAGATATTATAAAGTCGTATAATTGTTTGTATTTATTATATTATGTATAGATAGTTTATGAGTAAAATCAAATCTATCAATAAATACAGTTTTAAAGCAAACAATAGTAACTGATAGTCAGTGATTGATAAAGAATGATAAAATACTAATTTGAAGCAATACATATAATCCCGTCACCAGCACGCTATTAAAGTATTTAGAGAGCCTTGATTTAACTATAACTACATTGTGATAGTAAAAGATCTATCTTTTTTAAAAACAAGCTTAATTCGACTTCACCTGGGTTAAAATGAATCCATATTATTTTCTGTTTTGTTACAATACAAAGATTAATTATATGATTTTCCACATTCCACTTCGCGCAGAGAAGAACCAGCAATGTGCCTAACTTACGGAGAACCTCTCACAGTCAAGCACCTCCTTATCCACTGCCGTATCCATATAGATACCAGAAAAAGTCTAAAATTGTCCGACAACCTCTTTGAAGCCCTCAGCCCTATCCATGACAACACCAACAAAATATTCATATTTTTAAAAAAAATTGATATGTATAATTTAATTTAAGAATTTATTGTATACTATATTGTGTACTAATTACCAATTTTTGTTGCAAGCTAATAACCTTAGCAGTTGATGCTGTACCATGAATAAGAAAAAAATTTATTTTGCTATAAGTTTATCAGTATTCAGTTTATTTTATTAATTTTCACAGTTGGTAGAATTAATTTTTGACGAAAATATCGCATTTGTTATTTGTAAGGATTTTTAATATTTTTCTTCTGCCTTTGAAATAATATACTAGGGGCCCTCTATTAAATTTTCAAGCTTTTTTAACCAACAAATACAATTTTATTGATATTTTTGGAATAAAAACTGAAAAAAAATGGAAACTGAAAATGTCCGTAAGAGCTCAAAATATTTGGAAAATGTTATGGTGAATAGAAAATGCTAATATAAACATTCAGTCAAAATTTCATGTTAGTATAGATACAGTCATATGTTTAAGAATTGCACCAAAAACGGCAAAAACCAAAATCGATTTTCTCGAAAACAGATTTTGCGTAAAAATTCCCGTTTTTCCTTAATTTTTCTTTTGTTTTCCACTGCGCTTTTGAAAACTACTGGGACTTTTGCCTTTTGACCCCCCCCCCCCCCCCAAAGTTCCAACTAGATTCATTTTCCTATCAGAAAAGATACTGTTGAAGAAAATCCAAGCACTTTTACTGTCCTAAAATGTGATGCCAGACACAAAAAAATAACAATAATATAACAGTAATAATATTAATAATAATTCGTAGAAATGACGTGATCATATATCACGTATGTATAAATATAATATATATACTAGCTGATCCCGTGCAATTCGTCGCCCGTTAAATGTATCAACTCAATATGACTTAAACTTTGTTCAATTCGTTATTCAATATTCGGTGTATGGTGTTCCAAATATATCTTATCTTTTCCGTTGCCCGGAATAAAAATTTTGAATCGCAGCAGTACATTTCAGGTAGGCAATCTACCTGCGGTAGATCGCGGACCCCGTAGTGCTGTTTGTACGGAAGTGTATGACTTAACTCTAAAGTATCAAAGTTATACCAAGTTTATTTTGATATAATACGGTGGATTAATATAACAAATTTGGTTGCTCGTAAAAAATCGCAACTCTTAAAAAAATTATGATTGTTGAACTCCTTTTGGGTGTAACTTGCTGCGGTAAGTGCAACTCAGCCACCCTGGTAGGCAATGTTCAATAATTCGATTTGATGCAAGCTTGTACCTGATCTGCCCGAATAATCAATGGCAACCAATAAATAAATGCTAATTTCTACTGTAGACTGTAACCAATGGCAACTATTAATAAATAAAAATAAAATTTCCAACTTCCATCGTGAATCTCAATGTCCTTGTTTGAGCACCTATTTAAAATGCGAATTTTGGCAAATCCTTTTTTATTGCACGGTGAAAATATGAGAAGAGAAGAACCTCTATTCCAAATTTCAAGTCTGTACGTTGAGTAGTTTTTGAGATACAGCGATCAGTGAGTCAGTGGTATTTGGATTTTATATGTATAGATAACTAATTATTGACTAACATTATCGAACATTCTTTATGCCTAAAACCTGCTCCGTGATATCCTCTTTCATTTAAAAAAAACTGCATGACAATTGGATAAGAAGTTTCGAAGCCAAACCGCCCAAACCGTAACAAAGATTTCCTCTTTTGCTTGATTTCAGTTTTATATATATATGTATATCGTTTATTATAGGTACATTTATACCTGGTCCCTGTAAATATACTTGCAAACAAAAGCAGACGACCGTTGACCGCAAATAAGACGGTACGACGGCAACGGATCCACCCAACGAAAAATGAGAATCATAAAACTGCAGTTCTTATCACTGTCTCTCTCGCACTCCACATACAACCAACGCGTGCGAGTGAGAAGTCCGAGCTCAAATACGAAACTTAATGTATAATAGTCTCGCTATGGTCATTTGTACGTTGTTTTTTCATGGATGTTTCTTACGCACAGAAAGGATTCTCTAGCGAGACTCTTCGATAGATGGTGAAGGGTGGAAAAAAAGGTTCTGAGAGGCAGTGATTGAAAAATATATGGGGGAAGCCCCCTCCAAATTGTTTACCGTAATTGCGCCTATGGTAGTAACGACTGCAGGCCGTATAGATGGTTTTTATTCACATAGCTTATAATACATATAGGTATTCCATGCCAAGAACCACCAGACAACACCCAATATTATTAATAAATATTTGTGTGAAGGAACTGAAAAATAAGTTGGTACCGTGTACCTATAAGTGGTGGACTGGGCAGCCAGGAAGCCGAGAAAATTCTCAGTGGGCCGCTGTTCTTATTCAAATATATTAATACAGGTACCGTATATATATATGCATATTGTGCCAAAAATGAAAAAAAAATGTATAGGACATAGCAGTGGCGTGGCGTGGGTATTAAAAAGATGTAAGCAGTGAAATTTTTTTTCAAAAGTGATTAGAATATAGGCACTATACCTGAATACCTAATTATAAATTATGTATAAAAAAATGTAATAAAGAAATTGGAGTATAAATACTTCAAAATTCTATTAGGCAAATGACAGTGACAGTGTACGTAAAAACGTCTACAGTCTACAACGCGTCGGGCTACGTACTTTGCTCCTTGTTTCTCGCGTAAGCAAAATCAAATGTGCTTACAAACCACTACCAGCTATAACTTAAATATTTTATAAATAAAATTAAAATTTTAAAAATCATTTATTATGTACCTATTAGTCGTGATTTGTCAAATTTATTTTTTCTTTCATTTAAAGTGTAAGCAGTGCTTACAGTGCTTACATGCACGCTACGCCCCTGGGACATAGGTACCATAGAATAGTTATTCGTTTAAGAATTACAACAAAATAAGAAAATTGTTAATTTATGCATGGGGTGAATGCCATAAAAATTTTGAAATTTAAAGTTAATATGACTTTTTAGGAAAAATTTTTTTTTGATAGGTAGAAAAAGGAGTTTTGTATTAAAATATAAACATTGATGAATAAAATATCATGTACTTACAATATATTGACCGTCAAAAACTGGTTTCGTGTAAAAATTCTTGTTTCTCCCGTCTGAAATATAATTGGAATTTTCAATTTTTATTTTTTGAATGTACTAATTTCATTCACTTTCCCAGCACAAATGATAACGAAATTAAAAATCGAAGCATTATTTCGACTATAGGTACCTACGTCTTATAGGTACACAGACACAATTATTTTTTTTTTTAACACACATTATTGTAAAATCTATACTTAATCACACCACTCAGAATCTATAATATTATAATATGTTGGAGAATATTTGATAGAAAATTTAAGTGTTAAAATAAGAGTGATAGTGAAAAGAGGTGATGGAGGACCGCTTGAACTGTGACTTTCCCGGGCCGATTTGTTCTCCCAGTCCGCCACTGTAATCTATTACAAGCCATTATCCCATTGGAACTTATATACGATCATCTCGATGTAAATCGATAATTTTAAAGTATACAAATCGATGGTTTTATTATAATTTTTATATTATATATAGTATTATTTACACGACATTATATTATTTAATAATTATGTATAGAATATTATAGATACAATGTACAAAACAATTTGAAAAAAAAATACTTAAAAACGAAACGAATCGTTTAGCTGTTTATTCCGATCAATCTAACATTGTGTCTCAAGTCATCAGAATGACGATTGATGATTATGCTGCGAATTAAAGTCCGGGACAAAGTGATACTGTTGTTGTTCTTGTTGTTCTTGTGGTTCTTGTTGTTGTTGGTGATGGTGTTGGTGTTGGTGTTGGTGTTGGTGTTGGTGTCCTCCAAAATCTACGACGGCGTCTTGTTGGGTGAACTTTTCGGACTGCGGATGATACTGCTGCGTGAAGTGGTTGTGGTTCTGTTGATGTTGTTGTTGTTTTTGTTGATGATGTTGTTTTTCGATCTTGACTGGAACGTGGACGGGCACATGGACAGGAACTCGGACCGGATATGGCACGCGTTTTTCGACCGGATACGGAACGGGCTTCTCGTAGGGGACGGGCACATTTTTGTACACGTTGTACGGCACCGGCCTGATGTACGGCACCTTGACGGGCACGGGAACGGGCTTTTCCACACGGAACGGCACCTTCTTGACGACGGGAACGTGGACGGGCACCGGTCTGTCGTACGGCACTTTGACGGGCACGCGCACCTGCTTGTACACAGGGTACCGGACGATCTTCTCCTTGTACACGGGATACGGCTTGTCAACGTGCACCGGCACAGGGCGGTCGTACGGCACCTTAACGGCCACCGGGACGTCCTTCTGCACCGGGTACGGCTGCGGTTCGTACACTTTGACCGGGTACGGCACATCCTTCTCCACTTTGACCGGGTACGGCTTGGGCACGTGCACTGCGCGTGGCCGATCCACCGGCACCTGTACCACATATCTCACAGGTTTCACCACATCAACGCGTACCGGTACCGGTACCTTTTTCTCAATCACTGAAACTTTAGGATGCTTCCCGTCACCGTACTGCTGTGGTAGCTGCTGATGACCGGCTCCGTAATCGTATTCCTGCCGTGTCTGTTGCTGATGTTGACCGGCCGTACCGTAGTCGTATTCTTGTTGCTGGTTGTGACCAGCACTGAAGTCGTATTGCTGTTGCTGGTTGTGACCGGCACTGAAGTCGTATTCCTGTTGATGGCTGTGACCAGCGCCGGATTCGTAATCCTGTTGCTGCTGGTGCGGTTGCTGTTGAACGCCGTAATCGGAATCCTGTTGCTGGTGACCGGCTGGAGACGAAAATCCTGAAAAGTCCACAACACGGCGCTTCTCCAAACGTTCAGCCGACGACAGCACGCAACAACTCGCACACAACAACCACAACAACAGACGCGGCGACGACGACGGTGGTAACGCGATCGCCATTTCACGCGATTGTTAGATATCCTTTAGACTATTATATTAAAATTATAACACTATATTATTGTTATTAAACTGTTGAACGATAAACGAGCAGAAGCAGTTATCGCGCCGGCGGACGGACGACAACGGTAACGTGTGTACTCGAGTACCGGGCCATTTATACCCGTCGAGAGTCTTTACTCCTCGCAGTAACTACCTACTGCGCCAGAACAACAGTGTTTCCCGCGCCTTTCGCGGAGCGAGCTTTCACTTTCGCTTATTGTTATCCGATGCGTTTTTCCCGCGCCTGTAACACGCTGCAACGTACGTCGCAGCTCACATCATAATTTAGTTACCTGTGCACACATACAAGGTGTTTTTTTTAAGCACGCTCACCCTAGTTTTATGCTCAAATTACATAATATTATTATATTATGCGTTTACCAATTAGAAATATTATGATTTTTGGAATTATCAAATAAACTTGAACACCATGTTTTTGAATACTTGAGATGTTTTGTATCTACTACTTAACTATATATTATAATGATAGTTCTCTGACAATACAAACTTCGGTTTTTCAAATAGGAACCGCTCTTTTTAACTTGTAATTATTCAGCTGATATTTTTTTTGTGAATTTTGATGTATCTAAATCGAAATTCGAACGAATAGTTTTCGAGTCTTATAACTTTGTGTACTAACGATAATAATATGCTTATGGTTAAGTATAGATACAGGGACTTGGATGATTTGAACATTTTAGTTTTTAGTAATTACCATTAATCTGTCGATATAAATAATTTGTAAAAATGGTTCAAGTATAATAAATATTAGGTACAGATGTAAGTACATCTAATATTACATAGAGTTTATATTTTTGTAAAACCATAATTATTATTAGCATACACATTTGAATAACTCAGAAACTACTCATTAGAATTTTGATTTTGATACATCAAAATTTTCAAGAAATTGATTCGATAAATAATTTGCACTTTTCAGTAAGTACAAACAATATCAGGAATAATTGAATAATTGTAATATTAAAGGGGAAAACAGGGGTGAGCATGCTTAACAAATCATCTTGTATATTAATGTAGCATATACTATTACGACGATGCATATTAAACTGGAAAACTATAGCCTATAGGTATATTATTTACATTAAAAATGTATTGTCTGGGTATTATATAGATTATACTATTATAGCCTACATATGATATTATAAGACTAAGACAAGACTATAATATTATTATCGGTCGGTGTTTGTGATCTTCAGATTAAAAAAATTATTATATTCTCGCGCGTCAACACTGGAGTTTGAAGTACGAAACCCTTAAATAGTTAAATCATAACGAATTTTATCTTCTCTATTTTTTTGTTTTAGTTGATCCTTATTATTATTGCGCCTTGCTTCGTTCGAATGCGAATGCAAAGCGAATAACATCAGTAAATACTTCTCTAAATCATGTTATCAGATTTTCTTAAAGAAAGGGCAGAAAAAAAGAAATATCAATATATCAGACTTATACTTACGGATAACGTATGGATTAGGTACCTACACCGCTCCTAAATTAATTTTATGGAATTATATAGATAAACTACAATACCACGGAGCGTGCGGTGTAAATTTGTTCAGGAAAATTAGCGTTTTCTTACACCCTGTACAATGTACATAAATACTTTAATAATCATTCAGGAACGATAATGTGTGTATATGTGTGTATACCGTATTATTATATTATGCAGCCCGCGCGTGCGCGTCATGCTACGCCGGATGCGTATTATAGACGCCCAATTACCGAGCGAGCGGCGGACATACTTCCGGTTTTTGGACAGACGCCGCCGCTGCCAAACTTGCACACCGAAACGATAATTGCCCGAGATCGCGTTTACGTTTTCTCGACGACGATCGTTTTGTAGAAGAATTTGAGTACCTACATATAATTGCTCTCGTCGTTAGATGCACTACCCACATACCAGCTGGTACACGAATGCGGTATGATATAGTGTACCATAACGGTCGATAACCATCGTCGGAGCGCGCATATCAAATTATACATGCTTTTATATAATAGGTATAGCTCGATAAATAATTATATTATCAACCTATCTAAACGCAATATAAAATATTGTGTAGTTAGTAGTTACATAGGTACTTAATGCAATATATTACCGTGGACTGCTAAATATTATAAATATTATGTTTCTTCGGTCGTGACTTTCACAGTTTATCACGGAATACGACCGAATATGATACGTTCACCATTCGTTTGAGTGGGTAGGTATATCGTTTTTCTTTTTGTTTTCCATAATATATCAGTATCACGGTATAGTTTCCATTTATCAATTAGCAAAGCGTATAAATTAAGTATTATTTGATTTATACTATTCCTAATGTCAAAAATGTGTAGGTTAGGTATACCCAGTTTAGGGCCTGATTTAGGCATTTTGTGACCTTAGGCAAAATAAAATATGTGGCCCCTTGTCAACAGTAGCTTATATAGCCCTCTCCTCCAAAAATGAGTTGTATATAACAAAATAATAATTTATTACAATATTTAGTAAGTATTTATACTTATACATTTTCACAAACATAATTATAATGTTATACATTTTTTATCTCTACAGGCTACAGACTTCTTGTACCTATTATTTATTAATTAATATATATATATATTATTGATATTGAAAACAAAATTTAACATTTTTTTTATACTATTTATATTAACTGAAAAAAACAATACATTTTTATACCTAAAATAGAAATAATTAATAAGCTATTTTATAATATTACTTGTCCTGCTTTTTTTAAAGCAAATTCATTTATGATGTCATCAAAGTTTAAAGAAGATGTAGAATCGCTCTCTGCCTCTCTATTAATAGAAAAACTAAGTTATCAAGTCTTTGTTGAAAAAAAAAATGAAAAAAAACAAGGTTCATAAAAATCCGAGGCCCTCTAATAAAGGAGGCCATAGGCAGTTGGCTATCCTGCCTAATGGTAAATATGGCTCTGGGTGTATCTATACTATAGGTACACTACCTATAAAGCTACACATATAAATTAACAAAAGTTTAGATGACAATGTCAGGGAAAGTTTAATAAAAAAAAGCAGAGCATAGATATATAGATGGATTATAATTTATAATATAGTATCATATCTATAAAAATGTTTCAATAATAAAAAAAAAGGATAGCGAGATGAAAATACGGAGAGCGTTGGACACGGAATCCGATCTTTGAGCCAGTGTCGCGGCCGCGACGAATCCAGACGAGGAGGACCTCTGCTCAGCAGACTCCCATCTCCCCGGAAACCCAGATGTCATTGCTTATATTAATTCGTTTTTGGTTTTCAGTTAAGCTTAGGTTTTAGTAATCCTAGTCAATAACAGTATTATTGGTTATTATTCACAATGCATTGTTAGTTATAGGCTTATAGCCATTAGCTGGCAGCACTTATCTTATCTATATATATATAAAAATGAATGTATGTCAGTGTGTGTGTCTGTGTGTCCATGTTACCATGGTTACCAAGGTTGCCATGGTTACTAAGGTTACCAAGATTTCATATCAATCTATATATATAAAAATGAATGTATGTCAGTGTGTGTGTGTGTGTGTGTGTGGGTCCATATTACCATGGCAACCATATCTGTATATAAAAAACAGTAAGCTGATCATAGATAATATATCTGGATTAGGATTGAGGATAGGCTATTCCAATACCTACAACCCATGGGTTCGCGTGCCGGAAGAGCCCCAGACTAACATTGGTTATGGTAACCTAGTTATCAATGGTTACGTTATCCTGTTATCTTGTCAATGTATTTGAATTAGGGGTACGAAATGACAAAATTTGAATTATTAAACATTTTACTGAGTAGTGAGTACACTATTCAATTTTATTAACTTTTGTGGCAGGTACAGTACAATTTATAATAAATGGTATGATCGCAAAAGGTATTGTCATTAAATTATTACTACTATATATAATACAGTATGTTACGACACGTACCGATCGTCAAAAAATTATGAACATACATTTGTACAATCATGGTAAGTAATAGGTACAATATTTACGTATATTTTAAATAGTAAAATTCATAATAACAGGCAAGAAGTTTGAATATTCAAAATGACAATTTAAAACATAGATAATATATATTATCTATGATTTAAAAAGACGCGAAATTTAAATGATTGATAAACGAAAAGTGATAAGTGATAACCGTTGAACCACATTGGACCATCATACTACCACCCTGGTTTCTTGGGTGCTCTCTGTACACGCGAATATTTGTTGAATGGCCTATCCTCTATATATTATCTATGAAGCTGATTGACTGCTATCAACGCACAGCTCAAACCATTGAACGGATCTGGCTGAAATTTGGCATACGGATAGCTATTATAATATAGACGTGCGCTAAGAAAGGATTTGCCAAAATTCGCATTTTAAATAGGTGCTGAAACAGGGACATTGAGATTCACGATAGAAATTGGAAATTTTATTTTTATTTATTTATAGTTGCCATTGGTTACAGTCTACATTAGAAATTAGCATTTATTTATTGGTTGCCATTGGTTATTCGGGCAGATCAGGTACAAGCTTGCATCAAATCGAATTATTGAACAATGCTTACCAGGGTGGCAGAGTTGCACTTACCGCAGAAAATTACACCCAAAAGGAGTTCAACAATCATAATTTTAGTTGCGATTTTTTACGAGCAACCAAATTTATTATATTAATCCACAGTATTACATCAAAATAAACTTGGTATAACTTTGATACTTTAGAGTTAAATCATACACTTCCGTACAAACAGCACGGGGTCCGCGATCTACCGCAGGTAGATTGCCTACCTGATAATGTACTGCCGCGATTCAGAATTTTTATTCAGGGCAACGGGAAAGATAAGATAAATTTTGAACACCATACACGTTAATGAATTGAACAAAGTTTGAGTAGGTAGTATTGAGTTGATCCATTTAACGGGCGACGAAGTGCACGGGATCAGCTAGTATAATATAAAAATGAATCGCTGAATGTGTTGCTAAGCGAAAATCTCGAGAACGGATGAACCGATTTAGCTCAATTTTTTTTTAAGATGTTCCTTATTGTTATAGAGCAAATACAAGTCTAAATTCGAAAAAAAAAATTTTACCACATTTATCTGCTTTAGATATTTTATTTTAAAAGTTTACATCTTATTCACTTATTCCAATACAGAATAACAGTATAAAAACCTACATAAAAAAATATGATCATAATTCATATTACAATAACAAAATAAATAATGACAACAAATTATAATCTAATTAATCAAAATTCTTTTATTTTTAATAGTAGTATGAAATTAAGTAATAGCTCATAGCCCATAGGCTATTAAGTTTATGTGACAAAACCGTCAAAACCCGTAATTCAACCACTTAAATTACTGTATTATCATGAGTTCACATCTATTTTATTATTTACAGGGTTTTGTATATGTATGGTGATTATGAAATATTGACCCGTGATAATATAATTATGAAATCTAATTAAAAGGTAACTATTTGATATCGTCTCAATTCCCAATAGTAATAATAATTTTATAATATAAAAATAAAAAAAATGTTGAAAGTCTAATCATTAACTAAGATACTAGGTATATGAACCATATTCGTTCACGGTTTTAAACAAAACATTTTCAACTAAAATCTAAAATTATGATAACTCTGCATGGGATGCAATGACATACGCTCTGCATATCCCCCCTGCACACGCCTAAGCTAATCACTAATACAATTATTTTCTAATATAGGTACGCTACTTAGAATAGACGTGCTTACGATCGGACAATGGTCAGACCTGTGCATTTAAATTGACTAATTTTTAGAAATTTTTTATGCAGTGGGGAACTCATTTTATGCAATGAACTTCTCAAAAAAAATACTCTGCCAGATGTACGAAATGGTTTGAAACACACCTAGGTATGGCCTATGCTACTTAGTAGGTAATTAAATAATTTATATTATGTAAAGACAACAATGACAAGTGACAACAATGCTAGTTGGCAGTAGCTGCTATAAATTACAATATTATAGTTACCTAATTAATTTATAACGTAATTTTTAAGTAATTATTTCGCACAAAGAAGTCAGCAGTATCTATAGACATAACCGATATGAATTGAAGTGTTAATTAAAAAATTAAAAATTAATAGATTTGAAATATAATATTTTTTTACTTTATGAGCTTATTTTAATCTACCTATTTTAAAGGTTAAACACATTTTTGTAGTGATTCTTACGATTTTATTGTTCATTACATTCTCAGACCTATAACAAAATTTAATTAATTAATGTTTATTCATTTTATAAATATATTTGTCTCCTCAACGACGGCTGCAACTGAATGAACGTAGTTATTGTGTGAACGACACATCTTTCTTTTTATTGTTCTTACTTATCTTACAACGATGTCTAACACTCTAACTTGAGTCTAACTGCCCTACATGATTTACAGTTAACTGTAATTGTCATCACGACTTGTGGGAAGTCCTCTGCCATCCGCCATGGCCGAAAGAACCGGTGATGTTTGGCAGTCCACGGTGTAACCACGACTGAAACCTGGGTTGGTAATTGGTATATAGCGGGTTGCCATTGTCTGAGGTAATGGGCGAGCAGTGGCGTTTTCTGGGATCTCGATACCCAAACCCCAGGCGATGCAGAGGCTTGGTCGAACATGAATCGGGTAAGCCCAACGCCGAAATCTATCACACTCCTGAGGTTAGATACTTAGGTCAGTCATTGCGTAAGGGTATAGCCGTATAGGCGATCTCTGCAACGATCGGGGCAAATAGCTCTGATGCCACTAAGATCAAATCATATTTTTATGTGCTTTGAATTCCAAATGGCTTATATTCCCGCTGTTGACAAATATGACACAATTTCTGTGATATCGTCTACGCATTGCCATAAAATTAGTTCTCACTTTTGAAATTATTGAATTCCAAATGATACAAACGATGATCTTTCCAATTCCATTTCTGAAACACGTGATTAAACATACTAATTTTAATCTGAAATTCCATTATTTGAAACTCGTTTACACTTTTCATTATATAGTCATATACTCAAAGAGCCTAAAAACCATCGTTCGGTGTTTTTAAATGGATTGTACCAACATTTATTTAAAGCCATTATTTGTGCAATATTGTCACATCAGCTGATACTGTATAGGTATGTATGAAAAAATATATATAGTTATACTATATAATATATATATAATACAATTTATTATTATAGGTACTTTGCTTTTTATTTTCGAATGCGTTTAAAGTAATCATTTTCCTATTAATTGTAATTTATTGAAACTAACCTATACAATTATCACTATGCATTTTATTATTATTATTCATTATAGTAGGTACTTATTATTAAAATTAAATGTATCTGGTTGTATCTGCTGTAGTTTACCAGTTACCACAATATAAAATATGAAATATTTTGTTTTAGAAAACGGATTTATCTAAATTATATACCGTCATGCGAGTAATTATGGCTTGTCGTGCGATGTGCTGCATAATATAATATAATGGAACATAAGTAGATAAATTATAATTTAATATGTATGAACTGCATATTATAATACAATCGACGTTTTTATTATGCAATCTATTTGATCGATAGTATTATTATTTATTTATATTATTGTTTTGACGTCCACCATTGTATATCGTCGTCGTGTACCTACCTACTTATATAATATAGAATTAAAGAGTATTATATTATAAAGGTATTAAGTACCTACTACTTACATATTATTAGGTACAGTATGGTATTATCTATAACATGTTGCCAATAAATGGGCGTAGTTCGTTTGATCTTTACTTCATTTACCTTAACGGCTCAATTTAAACATTGATAATTTTAGATCACTTTATTTAGAACTTTTTAGCATGGGTTTCATTTTTACATTAGAATTACTAATTTTTTTGAATTTACTATGAGGTTAGGTAGGTACATTATTAATACTGGCAATACACAGGTAATTTTAAAACAACATCGATTCAACTAATTTTTATTGGAAGTTTAACAGAATATTAAATAATATTATATAATCCTATATAATTACTAATTATTAGTGTCATCATAATTCATAAATCATAATATATCGCTTGGAAAACAATAACGAGAAATCGTCACAGTGTAATTTAAGTCGTTTCTGGGGAATATGTGTCGGCGATAAAAAAAAATAACAACATAGTAGTAATATAATTTTTATAATATTTCATTATTAGAAACTCAAACAATGGACGTCTTCCGTTGATTATGACATAATAATTTATACTCATAATATAATTATGTAGGAACATGATATTAATTATTAATATATTATGTATAATGTATATTGTCTGTAGTGTAAGCATCTAAATAATATATAGGTAGGTACCTGCACAGCGCGTCGCATACATCGAAAGTTTCCGGGTTATTAAATTTTAAAATGTACCCTAGGTACTCAAATCCAAAGAGCAAATAAACTTCATGAAATTTTCCAAAAATTGAAATATTTTATTATGATGTACAATTAGTAGGTAGGTACAAATTAGAGAATAATCGCTACCGAAAATGCCCACGCGTATATAATAATCGTCAACTCTTAATTTTTAAATTGATACAAAATATAAGTTATGATCTTGTTCTGGGGGAAGGTTTATTGTTTTAATAAACATCAAGCTCCCACTCCCCCCACCAATACCATAGCTCTATGTCTTTTTGTTTATTACACCATTATGCACAATAAAATAATTTAAATTTAACATTTTTAACGCATTATTAATTAACAAAATGTTGTTAGATTCTGAGCAGAGTGTTGAGTGTAGTGTTGATTTTACAATGATGTGTGTTTTTTTTTTATTTTTTATTTTTTTTTTGTGTCTGTCATCACCTTTTAGGACAGTCAGAATGCAGTATCTTTGCTGATAGGAAATTAATCTATTTGGTACTTTGGGGGGTCAAAAGTAAAAATTTCCCAGTAGTTTTCAAAAGCGCCATAAATACAAAAGAAAATACGGGAATTTTTACGCAAAATCTGTTTTTGAGAAAATCTTTTTTGGTTTTTGGTGAAACTCTAAAACAAATGACCATAGGTACATGACATTTTGACTGAATGCTTATATTAGAGTTTTTTATACACCATAACATTTTCCAAATATTTGAATTACCTATTTATGGACATTTTCAGTTTCCATTTTTTTTTAGTTTTCTTTTCTATAAATATCAACAAAACTTTATTTGTTGGTTAAAAAAAGCTTGAAAATTGAATAAAAGGCTCCTAGTTTATTTTTTCAAAGGCAGATGAAAATAATTAAAAATCCAAAGTCACAATTTTTTTTATAAGGATCTAAAGTTCAAATATTGACAAAATACCTAAAAATGATGAAAATTTGCAAATTATTTTGAGTTAAAAATTAATAAAAAATGTTCTTTTTAAATCTAAAAAACCTAATCAAATTTGTCAAAGACTAGTGTTCTGTAAGAATTCCCGTTTTTCCTTAATTTTTTGTTTTGTTTTACCTGATTATTTTTAAAAAGCTCTGAAAAACTTTTAACTTTTAAAAGTACAATCTAGATTACATTTTCTATCATATAACATCCTCAAAGTTGAACATCGTATAAAGTATAGTAAAATTTGTACATACAGACACAAAAATATTTAAAAAACACATTGTAACATTGCATCAATATAATAACCCTTATGAAATATGAACAAAGCGCAGTTGGCGAATTGTGTACATGTGTCCCCACAACAGTTCTGGTACACGCCTATTTATAGTGACCTGTTGTATGTATACCGACGATAATATATCTTGATTTTAATTTATAAAAACGGTTTTGGTAAGTTTACACTAGTTGTGATTAATTAAAATCTAGACATTTGTCCAATACAATATTATACAATATTATACTACGTGGGTATATATTTTACACAAGATTAAAACATGTTGTTTCGTCAATTGAAATAATAATCAATTTATAAAAAAAAATTATTTACATATTACACCAAAGTGTAATTATTTCTATTTTTAACTATAGCTGATCCCGTGCACGTCGTTGCCCATTAAAAATGCCAACTCTATCTCTACCTATGAATAATATGTTTTATTTTATAAGATAACGATTAACGGCGGTTAAAATATACTAAGTCTAAGTAGTAAGTACCTACTATTATTATCATAATAGTTTTAAAACCCATATGGCAACCATTTATAAACAAAAATTTTCGTCCAAAATCTCAAAACCCCTGTTTGAGCACTTTCTGGGTTAGTCCTCTCCTTTTTTAAATTAGCCTATCATCTGTCCAGCCGTTTAAGAATGCATAAGGATACATACACAAACAGACAGACAGACATTCATTTAGGTACCCACATATAATATATAGATTTAAATTAGTTACTAGCGAAAGTACAATATTGAGCTATACGCCTATACAGTAAATATAGTATTTGAAAGCGAAGAAAAACATAGGTACAATTTTCCGATGGAGAATATTATTAATTATTATGCTACATAGTACATGTAATAATAATATAAATAGTATGCTTAAAAAAATAGTGGTAGCTCATCTAATACTTGACATTTTTAATATAGCTCACTTGGTGGAAAAGGTTGGCCACCCCTGTCTTAAAGTATGATGTCACTGATGCGTCGATGCGACTGTAGGTAAAAGAAGTTTTCAAGTTTTGCTAAGCTGATATTTTGTTTTCTATAGCCGATTTCACATTTATTTTAATGCCTCATTACCAGGAAGTATGCAGATTTAGTACCTATTTAACATATTTTATAACTTTGTAAAATATCAAATCAATATACAATTTTCACTATAACTGCAAACTGCAGGCATATGAATTAAAACAAAATATACAAATACAAATTTCAACATTATTAATTTTGGTAGACTTCCAAGATAGGTAGATTTAGATTTTAGACAATCCTTTCGTACCATTTAAGGAAACGTTTAATCACGCATTATCAAAATTCCCGTTTATTGAATAAATTATTGTCATACTCAAATCTAGATGGCAATCATAACGGAGAAAAAAATTCAAATTTTGTTTAATCTTTATATAATATTTTGGCCGGGTTTTTAAGAAAATTTAGAAAATGTCCCATACTGTGCACCGAAGATCCCCATAAACCTTCAAAACAGCAAATTTAGATTTGTATATTCTTATTTTCTTTGGTCATACGTATCTAGTATTATTTCCCAAATTTACAAATCATAGATTTTATTTAAACAATAAAAAACTTCTAGATTTGTATTCTTGATCAGTATAACTCAAAAAATGTAAATAAATAATTAATTATCGTACCCATATAATATGTTCAAAAACCTAGATACTTTCAGATTTACAAAAACAACAAAAATCTCGTTGCCATGTACATGAGTTGAGTGTTTGAAAAATCTACAATTCTTGTCTTTGTGCAATTATCAATAACCATTTCTTGCTGCGATCAGTACGAACAATTTTTCATTCTTCCGTAAGAAAGACTGTTCAAACAGTTAATACGTAGTTCCGTATAGGAAATAATCTATTCATTATTATTCTGCATATATATTATTATCAGATTTATATGTCGGTAATTAATATATTCAATAATTCGTCCGATATTAACATCCCGTCCAAGACCGAAATAATGCAACTGGTATTCGACGATCTACTAAGAAGTAGACCAAAACCGTT